TTTTTATAGTTTACACAGTGTGGGAGATATGGCTGGATCATTCCATCAGATCTTCCCATCCACACTGAAGGTGAAATTTCAGAATGAGTTGAAGCTTAAAAGGTCAAGTGGGCACTAGCACTAGGGAAAAGGTACCTGGGATCACACATCTTCCCACTCTAAACTTAGTCTGAGCTTTGTCCTTTTTCTCATATCCTCTAGCTCTTCACAGAGGAGATAAAAATGAAGCTCAGAGTCTATTGGGAAGGATGTGAAAGTAAAGACAAATCATTAAACTTAGAATTGAATCAGCTACACACAAAAACATCTAATGTATCCCGGACGAACACTGCTGGGCCCTTGAGCACAACACTTATCAGGTTGATGAGATATCATCATTGAAAACCTTATCTGGGGACCCCTCATTTCATTCCTATTTCCTGTTGTTCTAAAGATGAAGCTTGGGAATAACAGGTGTCATCTGTTTTGAAGCATTAAGCAATTAAGTAATTACAGTAAACACACACACACACACACACACACATACACACTCAAGCTTATAGTGGGAACTCTGAGAATTTTCCCTAGTCCAATATTTTTTGCTTCCCCAGACTTCATGGTGTGCTGCAGTTTATTCTCTCTTGTTTTACTTGTGTCATATAGAGGGCAGCTTGGGGCTAACATAATTTCCTGTTCCAGAAAAAGCCACTGTCTTTTATTAGGCAACACTTCTTTCCAAGCACTGCAGTACCTCTCTCTCAAGTTCTCCTTAAGGAGTCACTGCAAATATCTGCAGAAATAGGAGCAATGATTATGCACATTTCTACCAAGGAAAAGAAACAAAGACAATGTATTTGGTGTAAAATTTCCCCAGATTCACACCTTCAATTTTCACAGCACAAAAAGGTTGATTTACTAGATTTTTCTTGCCAAAATCTTATAAAATCTCATATCACTTTAATGTTAAATTTTAAAGCTAGATAGAATATTACAATCTTTATCATAATATCTTATATGAAAGATAAGGGAAGGGAATTCAATTAGTTAGTAAGAGATCTGGGCTAGAGTCTAGTTTTACTGATTAGAAACTCAGTTCCTTAAACAAAATATAGCTACAATGCTTAGAAATTCCAAACTCAAACATTCACTGGAGAAAATTTAAGTGCTATGGCTACTCTAGGAAGTTTTAATCAGATGTTTTGATAAAGAAATTTTTCATTTAAAATATTAACAAACTCACATATATTCAAATAAACTTTCACCACATACCGGAAGAAGTTATCCACATTACCTAGAGGTTTGCATGGGAGTCAAATATTATACAAAACTACAGCCAAACCAGGTCACCTTCATAAGGATAATGTATCAAAGCAAATTGTGAAATCTTAATTTGAGCTCATGAATTGGAAGTATTTTCTACAAATACTTGTGTGGTCTCATGGTATGGATATGATAGGAGGCTCAAGGAGTTGTGGGGAGCAAGGAAGCAGAGATTCAGAGAACTGTTATACACAAATCATGGTGATATTAATTTACATGGATTGCCTTGGAGGCGGATAGACTTGGATGCTCATGGAAATACTGTTTGAATTAATATCAGAGAGAGGTAAGAATCGATGTGCTAGAATGGCTTGATTGAGCACTTATGGGAAGACAAAGGAAACACTACCATATAATCAAATACCAATGAGCAAGATCTGAGTCAAATTAGCTCTAGGATTTGCTTTAAATTTTTTTAAAGATATACTGAAAGGAGAGTCCTTATTTCCTCTGTAACATATCACTAATTTAATTATTTTAAGTTGCTTATTTGATGAAGAGTAAATGACTGGCATGTGCATAGACATTTGGCCAGTAGTAGCACAGTGGCATTTTGGTTCTGTATGAGAAGAAACCTCAGATCCCTCCTTTTGCATAGCTTTCTCCTTTTATGGTGAGTACTCCATTTTTTACATTGTAATAGTAATAAAAAATCATTGATATTTTGCTGAACTCATATTTTATATTTTTTAATCAAACAAGTCCATCTTGTGATGGATTAATGCTACTTCCCTTTTACACTCATAGTCCAGCAGGTTTAAGATAAAGATGAGGTCAGTCTAGTGGAATGTGCTAAACTTTAATCAGATTTTAGTGTTAATTTGCTAACTTATCTCCAGCTTGAAGGACAATAGCTGTCACTCATCATCACTGTCATCATCATCATGTATTGCAAAAAAAAATGTATACATCAGTAAGTCATTGACTATGAACATAGATAACTTTCGCTGGGTACATCCTACTGATCAGTGGGCAGTCCTTGGATAGGTACAGACAGTGCTTCAAGGTAGATACCCTGGCTTAATGTGCAGAGCTGGATAGGGAAAGACATTCTGTTGAAATAAGATGAATAGGGTTTTACAGGGGTGGTTTTTTGAGAGCAGATAGGAATAATACAGATTCAACAAACCCTTCTACATAATGAGAGAATATCTTGGGATAGAAATCTACCAATCCTAATTGATGGTTCCCCTAAGGGTCTTCCTAATGTTAAGGGTAGTGGAGTAATCCTAAAGTATGGCAATGATTTATCTCTGAGTAACAGGGGTCTAGGACATTTAAATTCCAGACCAACTCATACCAATTGTCTCCCACTTGAGCCTATAGCAAGAAAAATGTTACTACAGGTTGTATTCCAAGTGATTTTCTTTCTTCATTCTAGTGAGTACTCACCTGCCAATCTCTTGTTTCCAGGAAAGGTGGACTTGAGAATTGTGAGCTTCTATCAAAGTCCTGTTTTCCTAAATTGAACCCTCAATTTAGTTTAAGGCCTATAAGGGGAATGCTCTTTCTCATGATTACCTGTATATTCCCTTAAGAGATTGGGCCTCATGCGGCATGTTATGTCATGATGAGAAGAAACACCTCCTGATAGGATAGGTAGATTTCTTGTCTGAAGAACTTACCAGTCACAGTAATGCTTGTCCACAAAGAGTATGCTCTTGCACAACCAGATTGCTAAAGAACTGTAAGGCAAGAGGACTATTGATTTGGCACATAGGTGAAATGAAGTCAAGCTCATCAATACTGCTTTACAAAGTTGGCCCTGAATGCTATTCACTGCTGGGAGCAGCACTCTGAAGCATGATTATTCATAGTAGGTATTACTCATATTTGCTAGAATAGTCTAGTCAATGTTAGTAGCTGTCTACTAGTGGAAATCTGGTAGTACTATATTTGAAAAGAGAAGCTTGATTTTAAAGAGAGCCTGTGTACACTGTGTTTTCTCATCCTAGTGGATCCTAGAAGGGTGTCTTTTCAGGAGGCTTGGCATATTTTACTCAAAGGATTTTCAGGTCTCCAGTATAGGAACATGGAAATCAGCTGGCACCTCCCCTCTATTACAGTGATCCATGACCTGTCTCCAGAAACTCCAGCCCGTGTTGCAGAGAGGTACCAGGCAGGGAAATGTTAGTGAATCTCACCAACCCACTTTCATTCCAAGGAAACCTAAAGGTCCCACCTTCAGCAGGTCCAGGACATAGAGATACATTGGTGCAGTCAAATGTATCCAAAATATAGAGATTTGGCCAGGGCCAGCCTGTTCCCATACCATGCTGCCAGGAAGAAGTTGATACCCGGGGCTGGGGTGGGGTGGGAGGGCAGAAGGGCACAGAGGAAAGTGAAGTCAATAATCTCCTCTCCATTTTGCTAGTGGCCTCTGGAAATCATACTTCTCCTTCCCAAACATTCTGACTCCTCTCAGGAGGCACTGAAGATCCCTTGTGCTGCTTATTTAATTTCTAGAACCACCCAGAACAGAATTAAATGAATATTATTTTTCATTAAAATCTGCCTTTCCTCTGAATTTGTGGCTAGAGGTAAGATTCAGGGGCAGGGGACAGGTATGGAGAGAAGAGAGTCCCCAGATCACTGGGTGATGGGATTCAGGATTATTTAATCACTACCATGTTGGTGATGGCCACACTCTATTGCTTTCCAGAAACAGACCTAAAAGCCTTCTCCATGACTGGATTTGAAATTCTCCCCTTTGAGGAGGTGAAGGACTTAAATACAAGTGGGGTGCCAGCAGCCAGGCCATGGTATTCTGAAGGTACTGAAGACAGTCCCCACCCCTTGCTTCTGTGAGGTGGTCTCCTGTCTGGGCTGCCTGTCTCAGTATACTCCCACCCACTCCAGGAAGGGTACAAGATCCCGTCCCCACTCCCTGTTCTTCAGTCCTGGCCAGGTAGGCTCTGTACCTCTCCCCTCCCCTGCTGCAGAATGAGGTACCACACCAGGTAAAGAGGGACATGGAACACTTTTTAATGTCAAGTCAGAGACAACCCTTCCCTCCCCTAACCCCCAATCCCACTTTCCCTCATCACATCCAGAACCCCTCCCCGAGGCCGCTCTGGTTCCCAGACTTCGGGGGAGGAAAAAAAGGTTACCTAAAAACTGCATTTTTCTTCTCTTTCATACACACTCACACAAAGGTGGGAAATTAAATAAAATCAACCAAGAGGATTAAATTCTCCAGTGGTCACAAAGGCATCAGGGATTCCCATAATGGGCTAAAGCAAGTGGTTACTGACGGTTTAGTTTGTTCAGTTGCTTGCTGTCTGTTAATGCCCCGAGGCGTGATGGAGAAGCGAGGCAACCTGGGACGAGAGGGCCTTCGCCTCAGAGAGCCACACCTGGAAAAATGCTGCGCCTGGTATTAGTTGTTTTGCTTTTCACTTTTTTATAAATGTCTCTGACGTGTAAATAACCCAAGAAAATAAAAAGGCAGGAGCTGATTACACAATTACCAGTAAACTCTATCATCTTTTAGAAGATCAACACACAGCTAACGCCATATACAGCATGCAGTAATGTCTGAGAAAGGACCCTGCTGAGAAACAAAATGGCTAGAACTCTAACAAAAAAAAATATATGTATATATATACTGTATAATATATGTCATCAAAGGAAGCATAGCCAACAAACCCAAGATACAGTGTGATCAACTTTCCATTTCTAAACAGTATGTAGATAGCATAGTATTGTCTGCATGAAATGCCAGAAAAGGAGGAATCTGTAGCGCTGGTGGAGAGGTTGGTTAAACTGGATGTGTTTTTTTTTTTTTTTTTTTTGGTGGATCTGCCAAATCCTCACCAGGTCCTTATTCCTAGTGTGTCCACCTATTGTAAACCTAGTTAAGAGATACACTATTCATTTTATAATGTTTGACAAACACATTTCTCTTTACCCCTCTCATGTGTGTATATTTTAGTTTTGTCTTGTTTTTGCACTAATTCTAGACTCATATCAGAAAATATAATTAATAAAATTAATAAATGAATCAGAATCCCTTATTTTCCATCATGTCCATGTAGTAAAATGAAAAACAGAAAAAAAAAATGTTTAACAAGATTTTTTTGTGACTGTTGTTTGTGGGATCATTGTTGCTGTCAGGCTGTCTTGTCTCCTTTTTCTTTCTTTCTTTTTTAATTTCACATTTCATGACACACACAATGGTGGCGCAGTCTACCAAAGGGCCCGCCGTGGCACATCTGAGCCTGCATGGCTCACTCTGCGTTTGTCTCTACTGACGGATGGAATTTGGGATGGCCGACTCCAGAATGTTCCATGGTGGGGCACTTTAGTGGGCCCAGCATCTGAGCCCTTGCCCACCCTGGCAACAGAGAGGTCACACGGTGCAGCTTGCGGGTGGGCCCAAGCCGGGTGTGCGTTCTTCCCGTTTTGGGAAAAGAAAGAAAACTCAGTGGTACCTAAATATCTGCAAGGCAATTTTCAATTTCCTCTTTAAAACATTTTTTTTTTTCTTTCCCAAAGTATTCTTTGTTTCCCTCCCTCGAATTTCTGTCCCATTAGGCTGTGTTTCTCTGAATTTCATTTGATTCTTATTGTTGCTGTCAGGTTGCCGTTGCGGTAGTGTTGTTGGTGCAGTGGCAGCAGCTTTCCCCCGCAGGGGAAGTGGCACTCACATCAAAATTTGAGGAGCAGGTGCAAGACCAGAAGAGGGAGAAGCCAAATGCAGCCTGCCCTCCGTGACGACGTCCCGTTGTTCACTTCGCTGACTGCGCCGGGGCCTGTGAAAAGAACGCACTGGTCATGAGCTGCCTGTTGTAAAGTGGAAGAAAATCCTGTGAGTGGCCTGGTCTGGTGTCATAAGACTTAGCTCTTCTGAGGCATCCCTAAAGTGGAGCATCAGCTATTTCAGGTCCAGCATTAGAAATGAACTTTCTCAAGCTCTGACCCATCCATGCACACAGGACACCATGGGAAGCCTTCCCTGGCAAGTAGAGAACTGGAGGCTCAGGTTAAAGCATCCTGCTGGCATCACTCCTTTACTGTTTTATAAACATGCTAAGGCCATGGCTCAAGGTCGAGTTCAAGAAGGTGGCTGATGAATAAATATCCTACATGGAGTTTCAATAAAATAACCCCTTGCAAAGTTTGTAATCTCACCTAACCCCTTCTGAGCTCTGACTGCCTTGATCATTCACAGAACCCTCCAGCTGCTCAACCTGTTGTTCAGAAAAGGACCTGTTGAAAACAACAATCTGTCTGCCGGCTGCTACTGCTGCATGGGGCACAGAGTCCATTCTGTCAATCACTCCATCTCAGGGTAGGGCACTGGATTCTACCTGGAGTGCTTGGCCTCTTGCCCATCTGGACAAGATAATAGCAGATGTAACTCATGAATCAGATGCCGGAAGGCCCCAAATCAGCCCAGCAGAGTGGAGATGGGACAAAGTAAAGAAAGAGGAGGCTGTTTTCTGCATGGACATTGATGTAATTAAAGATTTAAATGGACACTGGAGTACAGAAGACAAAACCAATTGGGGACCCATCCTGAAGGACAAGCAAGGGAAAGGGAGGGCACATTTCCCTATGAGGCACAGACTAACCAGGCCTGCAAAGCAGATGCTCTTTGAGATGGAGTTGAACACAAGCAGCAAGAGGACTTCAAGTCCAAAAATTTCCCTAGTAATTTCTCCATTGCTCTGAAACATCAGCTTTTTGGCTACTTAGACCATTGTGGCCAGGAAACCTCAATTCCAAATGGATCTATGATTCCTGAAAAATACCTAAGTTTGGATGCCAGGTGACTTCAGTGACTGATTAACTAAGATACCTCTGTGATTGGGTGTGTCCTCACATTCTCTGCTGCCTTGAATTTCACAGAGGTATTTAAAGCTGGTGGTTATACTCAGTCCATTTCTTCACAGGGTTGGGAATAAACGACAGAGCCTGAACCTGCTTGACTGACTTGGATGCTCAGCACTGGAGTCACTTCTAATTAAGTCAGTTCAGAATCAAACCTAGCCTTTTGATTCCATATGGGATTGTCCTGTCAAGGACACGACAAACTTCAGACCTGGGGCCACTACCCATGTGATTGTATTTTTTATCACTTTGGAATAAATATTTGATCTGGGGGTGGTAGCTAAATAGTCACAAGTTTGAGACGTAGCAGGGCAACTCTTGTTTCTCTGGTATCTAGTTCAGTTTTCTCAAGGCCAGAAGTTTGCAGCAGTGAAAATCCCCAAGTTGAGAAGTCCTCAGGAAATCTATTCTACTCTCCACCCTGCAAGGAGGTGACCTGCTGGGCAACACAAAACTGATGGCATCTTTGGGGCCACAAAAATCCTTGGTTACAAAAGGACTTGCATGAGGATTTACATTTCAATTGCTAGCCCTTTAAGATAGGACACTAACTGGTCATGTCTTCTGGAATCTAACTACTATGTTACCACACAAACCACCCCTGTGATCTACAGAACATTTTCCTTGGAGCCAAAGGAAAGAAGCCATTCTCTGTCACTTTTAAGGGTAAGAAGCTATGTTTCTCTCCTCTGATAAAGTCCTTTCTTCTGGGCCACTCCAAGACCTTTCCCAACACGAACCCTGCCTGGACCTGAGACTAAGGAATCTAAGAGACAAAGATTATTATTTCCAAGTCCTCCTGACCCAAAAGGCTTTTATGGGAGCCCAGTTCCATGTCTCCCCTGGACAGATCTAGTGGTCACATTCCATCTCCATATATGCACATTGCCCAGAACAATTCCAAATGTGTCCTGCATATCTGTTACCCTCTGCTCAGGGAAGGACCCAGAGTTGTTGACACCTGAACTCTTGTTTCTTTTACCGATTTCGCTCTTCTGAACACGCCACAGACACAGCTTTGAAACCAACTCTCTACTCAGTCTCAGAATACCCTGTTCTCTTCCTGTCAGCTCCCCATCATGGCTAACAAGATGCCTAGTGGTAAAAGAGTTGGAGAACAAATGCCAAATCCCTGAGAGCATCCTTCTCTCCTGCATTCCTCCTTGCAGGCCTGACCTGCAAACAGAACCACGAGTCAGCTGTACAGCCCAACAGGGGCCTGACTTGTGTACCACATAAGAAAAGGCTGAACATCTTGTTTCTGGGTGAGGGATTCCATAGCTTAAGAGGCACCTGTGAGCTGGCAAAGGCCACCCCCCAGTGTCAAGTCACAATGGCCTGGAGGCTCTGCCCAGTGTTCTTTGTGGCGCCTTGTTTGGATACCCCTCAGAGTTCTTTTGTGGCTCTGCTTCCTGCTAAGAAGCACTATAGGGAGTCTTTCAAGACAGGTTCTAACCCATTGTGCGAGGGACAATGTTTTCTACAGAAAACAGAAAAAGGGCACCAAGAGCCTCTCTATGGTTCCTCTTGCTTATAGCATTATCTTGGAGAAGCTCAGGGGCCTTTCTGATCTCCTATTCAGGCCTGAGAAGGGGCTGTTAGAGTCACTGTGCATGAGTAATGCACATTGAGCATTGCAAGTCCAGTCTGCCCACACCCTCTAGTCCACACAGGCAGTCCTCCTCCTCCCCATGACCCTAACTACTATGTTTCCATAGATTCTAGCAGGAAACTGGAGGAAGCTAGAGAGAAAGGGCAGGAAACAGAGGTGTTCCCTGAGGCACAGGTACCCCACACAATCCTTCCAAAGGAGACAGCAGGAATTATCCCCACCACTCCATTCACAAAATGTTCCCCACCTGGGCTTTGCCACCTGCTGCCTTGACCCCTCAAATCTGTTCTTTATGCTAATCCCAAAGTGGTGTTTCTATAATCCCAAATTAATCATGCTGCTAATCTAAGGCTTCTCCTCTTCCAGATACCCTTCTTCCCTTTCTCTAACTGTCCAATAAAAGTCACTAAAAATTTTGGTGCTGAGTGAATGTCTACATAGAAGCAAAGTTATATGGACAAGGAATTCAGGTAGGATGCTTTCAGGTGGAAAGTTATCTATCACAGTGCTGACGACACTCATATAGGAGATGCAGATTATTATCTCTTTTATAATAAATGGAGGCTTAAATTCAGAGAGCTTAAGTGGCTTTCCCCAAGTCCCCTGACTTCTGTCTCCAAAGGCAATTTTCTTCCCACTAACTCAGAACTGCTTTTTTTTGTACAACTCTTGATCTTCAGGAAATAAAGAGAAGAAAGAGTGAGGCCCACAGAGCCTGCAATAACTGGGAACTGGCTAAGGTGGGCACCACAGACATATGACTGTTTTTTTCCCACTCTAAATGAATGCTATGTTAAAAAAAAATTGTATGAGATGAGGTTGTTTGTCCAGGCAGACAAGAATCATAGTGTCCTGGGAGCAAGGCCTCTTAGAGGTGGTGCCTGCCAGAGTGACAGTTCTGTCCATCTGCCTGGTGATAGGGCCACACATTTGAGGCCTCTGTTCTTCATCCAGCAACACTTCCACTTCACATTGGATGTCTTTATTGCCTCTATCTCATTAGAGAGTTGCGGAAGCCTAAAGAGACTAATTACCAGGACAGTTAGGGTCCCAGAGAACTGTGATGAGTGTCAATTATCCATCGGAAACATCTGGCAGGAATGAAAGCCACAAATAAGACATATTTTATTCCTAGCCAAGTGACTCACCCCAGAACCTCCCCCTTCCTCCCATTTCTCCCTCCCTCCCATCACTGCCCTTCCAGTTCCAAGTTAGAGAGAGAAAGAGAGAGAGAGAAGGGAATAAGCAAAGGGCAGCATGCAAGGCCAAAGTCTAAGAAGATCACTGCATTAGAGCATTCCTGTGCAAGGAAAGAGGCAGGCCTGGTACAGAGGAGCCCAGAGATGCAGCTATTCTGGGCACTGACAGGTGCTCATTAGTGCCGTCAGCAAAGACAAGTTAGACTTGTGCAAGTGGAAGCTACCCAGGGAGAATGGGATGTCCTTAGGGACAGGGTCAATAGAAATTGACACAGAGATGCTCAAGGTCAGGGAAGGGTTCCCTCTGGGCTGCTTCCTGGTGTGAGCTTAGAAAAGAAGGCATCCTGGAGGAAGGGAAAGAGTTTTACATACCCCACCAAGCAGCAGCTTCCTGAAAATAAATATACTAACCTTTCCAAGGGGTCAGGGCTGTAGTTTTCACTTCTAAAAGAAATTAAAAAACAGGCCACTGTTAAGATAGAAAGTAGTTAGAAGTGCTCACTTTTCCCTCAGATGGTTTTAGGAACTTGGTGATTCTTCAGGCCCAAGAGCTTCCCCAGGCCTCTTGAGCCTCCTTCTCGTTGTCCTGACCAGAGCCCAGCACTCATAGTGACCCATGTCAATGTTCTAAGGCAGCTAGAAGTGAACTGGGACTAAGAAAGGGTATGAGTAATGGTCAGAACAGACCACAGACTAAAGCAGAGCCAAAATATCCACCTCATTTTAACAGGAGACACCTCTGCAGCCTGAGCTGTCATGTCAAAACCTTTCTGTAAAACAAATTTCTGTATTTGGCCATCAGAGTAACTCCTAAGTGTTGAAGTGTGGGTCTTAAGTACAAAAGTGACTGGTACAGATGGATGTAAAATACCGTAGTTTTAATATGGGTGCCTATGTTTGGTTTGAAGTATAAAACTTTCACCTGATTTTAGCTATACATTTTAGAAACACCAGTGAATAAGCTCTCAAGTGCCAGAAGAGCCCAGATTTTTGAAGTTTGACTTTTCTTGATGAGTCAGACAATACCAGCTTGGTCCTGTTGGGTCTCATCTCTTTGGGTCACATGAGGCAGTAAAGATCCAGACCTGTGCTGCCACAGTTGTACTTGATGTACCTCCTTGTAGAAATGCTGGGGAGCCAGTTCCTCTTTGTTGGTTAGACCAGGGAAGATTCCCAATTTGCTAGCTTCAAACTCTTGGAACACGTCACAGAGGCTCCCCCAGCTCTTCTGTGGATAGGAGGTGTTTTTGTCTGGTCAGAAGTTGTAATCATCTCTAATCTCTTACTTCCCTCTTTAGCAGCCTCTGCAATTATTCACTTGGTACTGAGAGGGTGAAAAGTGTCCTTAAAGACTTTTGATTGAAGGGATGGCTTCGAAATCTATGTTAACTGACAAATGTCCTCAGATATAGAAAGATGACCTAGATACAACTGTCTTCCTCAATGCAGCTATAATGTTTGTTCAAAGTCAGATGAATACATCCTTGTGCATTCAAGATCTCATTGTGTTTTTAAAGGCACAGATATATGATATCCCTCTCTATTGAAGTGGACTTTAGCAACCCTGAGAAATTGTTCTGAAGATATAAAAACATAAGTGGTGATCTATGGTTAAATGTTTTATGATTGAAGGAAGATCTGATGTAAAGTTGGGACAGTAGAGAAAGTCCAGAAGTGATGGTTCTATGTTGTCTGTGCCTTTAGCAGGGACAGTTCCCTAGAGTGCTCACTGGGCCCTTGAAAACAGCCAGAACTTTAGGAAGGGCATTTTTTACTAATGTTCTCATTCAGGTAGCACTGATTTCTGGATCTCCCTGTGTGAAAAAAGATAACTGGGATGAAGGCAGTTTGAAGAGAGACTTGAGAAGATGAATAGTCACACACATTTTACCCCCAAACCATAAGCAGTGCAATAAAGGGTAAGCTTGGGGAACAGTCACCCACAGAGTGAAGGGGATGCTGGTTCAGACTTTTAGAGGAAGAGCACTGGACATTTCCATTTGGCAGTTGGGACTGTCAGGAAGAGGGGAAAAAATCAAAGGGAAAGTTCCTGCTCTAGACAACCAGAAGAGATTATCTGTATAGAAATGATCTGAAAACAACTTTAGCTTAATTGTTCCTGTCTAGCTCCCCCGCTCCCCACCCCTGCTAAATCTATAACAATCACTACTTCAAAGAAGTTCAATGCTAAAGAGCATCCATGAAGATAAAGAACAATTTGACACTCACCCATGACCTCAGCTAGAACTTAACCTTGGGTCTTTCCAGGTAGCAATGTGTCAATCCTTCCAGGTAAACAGAATGTTCTTGTACCCTTTCTTAGCACAGAAAGGGAAACCTAAGCATGATAAGCTTCATGAAAGTTACTTCAAACCCACCATGCTATGCTCTGGCCCATCATTCCTTTACCTTTGTCACTAAGAAGTGATTTAAGAAGAATGCTGCTCAATGTCAGTCCTCCAAAACATGCTTGACATGTTTCTGTTGGCTCTACCTTCTAGAAATACAAATCTTGCTTGTGGCTTCAAAGCCAGTTCGAGCCACAAACTGAAGTGTTTGAGTAAGACCTTGCTATCAGGAAAAGAAACAATCCCTGATAATCCAAGCATACATCCTTCTTCAGCAGGACCTTGACTGAAATTTAGATGATCACTTTGTTAATGATGCATTAAGAGGGAGCCACATAGAGTGGGAAAATACAGTCATGAGAAAGAAAAAGGAAGGAAGAGAGGGAAGGGAAGAAAGGGGATACAGGTAGAAAGGAAAAGAGGGGAAAGAGGGAAAAGAAAAGGGAGAAAGAAAAAGAAGAAAATGCAACGTAAAAGAATCCCCTACATACACCCTAAGTCTCCAACTGGTCAGTATTCAATGTTTCAGCTCAACTCATAGTGATATTTTTTTCCAGCAAAAAGCTGAATACTCATGGCTGAATCCAACAGTCAGGAAAGCTCTGGGCTGTTGTCTTATTTGAATAAGAAGCAGAGGTATGCTGGATGAGAACAGATATACCACCTTTCCAGAAAGAGGATGAGGGAAATTTTTCTTTTTTTTCTTTTTTGCACTTTCTCTTATTTTTAACATACAGGTGCCATAGAAATGCTAATTGTGGGTGCCTTGGTGGCTTGGCCTAATTAACTATTTTTAATCCTCTGCAGGGAAGCACTGATCATCTTTTCTGTGGTTGCAATTGTTTCTTTCTGATATCTAGACTTTACTTTTGCTTCCCATTCTTTAATAAATTGGTTTGATGGTCACTGTGAGGTTCACAGGCATTAATCAGCCCACATTTCCCAGCCCACTGATATCATCAAATCTGCCTTAATGCCTAGAAGATAAAAGACAAAAGGCCAATGGATGGGAAATGAGCAGCCCAGGAGCCGCTGAGCTTGCAGTGTGGGCCCCTGCATACTGGCCTGTGCAAAAGTTTCATGAGGGATGGTTGGCATAGCACCGAGTCCTTATTTATCATTGCAAGAATCCTGCACCACCAAATATTAATACGAGAAGGTGACATGCAATCTGTTGTGTTTGCAAAAGGGAGGCAGAGAAATACTTCAAGGGTGGCAAAAAAATGCTGAGGAGGAATGAAATTCCCTTATCAAAATCCTTCTAGTCTATCCAGATATTGTGTAGCAAAAATAGCTTTGACTTCTCTGAAAAACCAGTGTTCCCTGTCAGTGGAAATCCACATGTTGGTATAAATCTTTCTTACATTTCTCTGATAAGATGTGCATAACTTGAAGGTATTCCCTGAGAAAACAGGTAGCTCTCTACTGCATCAGAGAGTAGCAAAGGAAGAAGGAAAACTGAGCACAGATGAATGAGGTGAGTGTGCCCAGGGTCAAGGTCTGTTTCCTTTAAAATATTCCTAGCTGTATCAAAAAGTCCAGCAGCTATACTAAAGACCACACAACTCAGCTGTCAGAATATTGCAAATGTCTATGACTTACTACTTCTGGTTGGTGGGAAGAGGGACTGAATACTTCCAGAGAATGAAATTAGAAAGTTGGCATAGAGATCATTCCACCCAAATCAATCAGTTCACAAAAATAAACATATA